ACTTTTGACATCATAATATTAATCATTTTAAAAATAAATTCTAGTTAAATGACTTATTATTTCTAAATTTATTTTAATATATACTTATTTAATTTTTATACATTATTTTTAAAATATAAAAATTATAATACCATGTCCAACCCTTATTTGTGTCATATATTTTCAATAATTGACATGTCTCGTGTCCTTGTCACTGTGTCTGTGTTTGTGCATCATAGGTAGTAGCAATCTTAATTTCTTTATCGGATATAGATTGAACGGCCCTTTACCCTCCATACCTTGTTTGGTGAAGATCAGTCTATACTTAGCAAACCATCATTCATCCGAAAATTTGTGACTTGGCCATGCAATTTATTGAATGAAAGTAACATGAAGGAAATACAAATGGAATTCTTGCAGTTTTTGCTTCAAGTTGAGATTGAGACTTCAGATTTATTTGGAAATACTTTTCTTCTGCCTTGTTTTTATAACCATACATATCATTGTTTGTTGTTTTAGGGGAAGCATGCAATGCATTGCACGTGTAGCTCCTTCACATCTTTTTGAATTTGGGCAATAATTTACTGTGCGACTTTCTCATCTCTATGAGAATTGCGATAACTTATGTGACATCGTGACATCCCACAACAGAAAAACATCTCAACATTACCGAACATTGCCTTAGTGTTGGAAGCATTTTACATACCACAATAGCTGTTCATTAAGGCTATGACTGGGATATCATAAGAGGCAAACTTATTGCTATGTTTGTTTGACATAAAATCATGGTTCCTGAAACAAACTAGAATACATCGGCAATGCGAATTAATAAACCCTACTTGCAGTTGCCATGAAACTAAGGGGATTGGTGAAATTGATGATCCCTTTAGTCTATGATTGCAAATATATTTAGGAGATATACGAAGCATGAATGAGATTGTTTATATGATTTATGGATGCCACGTGGCATGTTTTACTAATGAAAAGCACTAAGAACTGTTGACCTTTCAGCTCTCTATCTTTTTTGTTTCAAATGGAAAATCATGTTTTTCAAGTAACTTTTCTGTATTCGATCAATAATCTATCAACAGACTATCCTTTTTGAATTGGTTTACATATTAGTCTTCGAGAAAAATAATTTGCTAAATTTGGTAAACAATAAATTTTTAACCTAGACATTTTCATTTTGTGTGATATTGCTATATTTCATCTCCCCTGTTTCTTGATATTCTTGTACCTAAATCCTGCTCATGAGATTCATGCAGTCCTGCAGAAGACTAAGGCATCCAATGCTTAACTTTGTTTACTAGTTCCTATGTATTGGATAAAGAGATATAACATATTTACAGATTTCTTCTCATTATTTCTTGGCTTTTGCATGAATAAATTCTCATCTTAACATTGTAAGCCTGTAAATGCAATGCCCATTGTTACATATGAATAACGAATCTTGCCTGACTTTTTTGGTCTGTGTAATCATCCGGATTGTCACCCATTGATGAAAATCTCATTAATTTCGCTTGAATCTCACATTTTTGCACCCTTTCTATATTCGTAATGACCTTAGAATTCTTGTTGATTCTCCAACCATGCTTTCATAGTCGTTTATAGTTTTTTCTTTCATGAATTAATCTAGATCTTCTAGTGAATTTTTTATAGAAGCAGTGTCAAAATGGTAAGCTTAGGGAAGATCTCAGTAGGGAAAGGAAAGATGAAATGGGAGTAGATAAGAGATATTGATCATAGAAAGAGAGGGCAGAAGATATGGAAGGAGTGAATCTAAGAGATCGTTAAGGGAGTTGCTGTAGATAGGATCTGGAAAGAAACTGTGTGTGTGTGTGTGTGTGAGAGAGAGAGAGAGAGGGAAACCTTTAATTGCATAGAAATCTTTCAAAACAGCAATGTTGGCAGCACTAAGACATGGAAGATAAAGATAAAACAACAACTGAAAGAGATCTACGATAATAACAATAATGCAATTGTTGCATTTGGTGTTCGGAAGAAGTTTAGTAACTCCCTTGATGGCTGACCATTGGGCAGACTTGCCACTGTTAAAGTTATTTTTCATCTTTCAAGTTAGTATCTTAATAGGCAAAGAAGATCTATGAATGCTGAACTTTTACTGTGTTGGTACTGTTTTCATAGTATTTATCTTTCTATTTGTAGAAATCAAAATTTAATCTATGTTATAAACTCGTTTTTTTGTTTGCAGGTTCCCAAACTAATCAAGGAGTATATTGATGAAGTCTCAACCCAACTGAAAATGGTTTGCAACTCTGATTCCGAGGAGTTGCTCTTAGAAGAGAAGCTTGCTTTCATGCATGAGACAAGGCATTCCTTTGGTAGGACAGCACTTCTATTGAGTGGGGGTGCTTCCTTAGGTGCTTTCCATGTAGGTGTAGTGAAAACATTAGTAGAGCATAAGCTTTTACCCCGCATAATTGCTGGGTCTAGTGTGGGTTCCATTGTTTGTGCTATCGTAGCAACACGGTCTCGGCCTGAGCTTGAGAATTTCTTTGAGGACTCTTTGCATTCACTTCAGTTCTTTGATCAGATGGGTGGGATTTTCACTGTAGTTAAGAGGGTGATGACACATGGAGCAGTTCATGAGATAAGACAGTTGCAGAGGCTTTTGAGACATCTCACTAGCAATTTAACTTTTCAAGAGGCTTATGATGTGACAGGCCGTATTCTGGGCATCACAGTTTGCTCCCCAAGGAAGCATGAACCACCACGATGTCTAAACTACTTGACATCTCCTCATGTTGTTATATGGAGTGCTGTGACTGCCTCTTGCGCTTTCCCAGGTCTTTTTGAAGCTCAAGAGTTGATGTCTAAGGATAGATTTGGAGAGATTGTACCTTTCCATTCACCCTTCTCAGTGGGGCCAGAACAGACGTCAGGAGCCTCTACTAGGCGCTGGAGGGATGGAAGTTTGGAAAGTGATTTACCTACGATGCAGTTAAAGGAACTATTCAATGTCAATCATTTTATTGTCAGCCAAGCTAATCCTCATATAGCTCCGCTGCTGAGGGTAAAGGAACTTGTGAGAGCTTATGGAGGCAATTTTGCAGCTAAGGTACTTTATTATCTATTAGCACACAGGATCTTTCATTTATTATAGCTATTGCTTGTTTTTTATGTATTTTTCCTTGTGTTTCAAGCCCTTTAATGTTTATTCTTTTTAATGTTTTTCCAACTTTTGCAACATTCTGACTTGTTACTTTGTTTCCAATAAGTAGCTGGCGCATCTTGCTGAGATGGAGATTAAGCATAGATGCAATCAAATTCGGGAACTTGGTTTTCCTTTGGGGGGTTTAGCAAAATTGTTTGCCCAGGAATGGGAAGGTGATGTGACTGTTGTCATGCCAGCTACACTGGCTCAGGTGTTAAACAAATCTTCTACATTTAGGCTAGCATTAGATATGAAAAATCTAAGTACACATCTTAGGCGAATCTTGATTACAATTGACATTTTTTCTTTAATTTTTTCAGTATTCAAAAATAATACAAAATCCATCATATGTGGAGCTCCAAAAGGCTGTCAACCAGGGACGAAGGTGCACCTGGGAGAAGCTGTCTGCGATAAAGGCGAATTGTGCAATTGAACTTGCATTGGATGAATGTGTTGCCCTTCTCAACCACATGCGAAGGCTAAAGAGGAGTGTTGAGAGGGCTGCTGCTTCTTCTCATGGGCATGCAAGTACTTTCAAATTCAGTGCTTCAAGGAGGATTCCATCATGGAATTGTATTGCGAGGGAAAACTCATCAGGTTCACTAGATGAAGAAAGTTTTGTTGATACTAATACTTCAAACCTTCAGGGAGCGAGCCATGTTGGTGGTTCATTTGGCAAAGGTGGTCGTAGCCAAATTAGCATACCTGACGTGGCTGATAGTGAATCTGAAAGCATTGATCTTAATTCATGGACAAGAAGTGGCGGACCATTAATGAGGACAGCCTCTGCAAACAAGTTTATAAACTTCATGCAGAATCTGGAAATGGAATCGGATTTCATTAGTTCACCGAGGGATGATGAAGTTGATGGTTCAGCTTCACATTCCAATACCACTGGGACTCAGCTGGAGAGAAGAGATTCTTGCTATAACAACTCCAGAGTTTCTACTGATAGAAGTTCAGTGAACTCTGACTCTGATTCTAGAGAATCTGCCAGTAGGATTTCAGTGGCTTCCACCAGAATCCTGGTTAGTGAAGGTGATTTGTTGCAGCCTGAAAGGATTAATAACGGCATTGTACTGAGTATTGTGAAGAGGAATGATTTGAGCTTTGCACACAGAAGCAGTGATTCTGAACAGCAGCAAAGCTCATCTACAGAAGCTGATGTTGAGACAGTTCAGATTGAAAACTGTGATGCCAGTTCTACTTCTGATTTTGGAGACAATGATGTTTCTGAATTGAACTGTATAAGTAGCGCTTCCGATCACCTTGCAGGTGATTCAAGCGATATCCATAAAGTTGTGGATTTTTAGAATCCTCGATTTCATTATTTGACTTCTGAAGAACTCCGGAGTTCAGACGCATCCGTAGACTATTCGAGTCTAATGCCTTCTTAGTACTATTTTGAATGCAATGTCGAGCAAAATTGAGCATACTTTAAAAGGAATCATTCTTGCTTGCAACCTTTGCTTCCTCATATTCCAACTTTTAGGGAATTCCAACACTTGAGTTCTCCAATCAAGGGACAAGACAATCATAACTTGGCAACTCGATGAATATTTAACTTTTTGGTAAGCCATGTAATTCTGTACATAAAACTTTCTATATTTGTAGTCCAATAAAAACTAGATGCTACTACAATGCATCATTCACTGTATACGCTTACTCTGAAAATTTAATATTCAGCTGTCAGTAAAGAGTTTATAGTTTCTTTTTAAGAGGCATCTAGATGCCTATTCTTATGCAATTAGCATTTGCAATTGAGAGTGATTCAAAATTGAGTAAGGGATTGATCTTCTTGGCCAAAACATGAATGGAGTGATTTTGAGTTTCAGTTGGGATGGTTATTTTCAGGAGGAAGAAGTTTCAGTTTTTTTCGGTGTGGGTTAGTAGACTTAACTAAGTTGATATATGTTATCCTCATTTTGCTAAGAGTAGAACACTTCGATTTTTTATTGGTAGTCTTGCTTGGGTAGAGGGAAACTTAGGATTTAAGCTTTTGTATAAGAGATTGGGTGGAAAGAAAAGAAGAAAGGTTTAGCGTTGGAAGTAGATCTTATTTTTTGAAGAGAGGTAGCATTTAGTGGTGTTAGAGCATGCAAACTTTCTATAAGAGGGTGGGTAGAAATAAAAGATGAAGTTAAGGGTAACGTTTGTTTGGGACAGTTTTCTAAATGCTTTCTAAAATAGTGTTTTAGTTAAAAAAAATTTTGAATCAGAAATTTTTTGTACTAAAAAGTTATTTTAGAAAGCAATGAGAAAGTTGTCCCAAACGAAGCCTAAGTTTAGGATTTGCATTAGAGTTTGTATTAGAAATCAAGTAGAAAGAAGAGATGAAGGATTTATTTGGGATGATTGTATATAAAGGTGAATATAAAGTTGTTCTGGGGAAAGTAACATGTTAAACGCTATTGTAAAAAATAAATTTCTAACACAAAAAATAATAGCCAAATAGAAATTATAATTACGAGATGAAAATCAAAGTAGTAAGAAAATTATTCCAAACCAAGGAGAAGTAGGTTTAGAGTTTGAGGTAGAGCATCATTTTTCAACTGAGAGGTATCCTTTATGCTGTGCTATAGCATGAGGGCTTCACCAAGCTTGGTTTATGTTAGCCATTTGAGTGGAATGGAAAACTACTTAAGAGCCTTTGTTGACCCATTGTGTTCTATAAGGTGGTTGGCCCCTTTCTCTAGGAAATATTTGAGGGGTGGGTTATGAGTCCTTCCCTATAGGTGTTGGTTATAATTTTGTTGTAGCCAAGGCATTGCATATCCTACCATATAGCCTTTGATGCAACTAGCTTAACACATGAATGCTAATTATATAGATATCCTTCTAAATCATGACTTCTCCCTTTGAGGAAATTTGCTCCATAAAATTTGAATCATCATTTGTTTCTCTTATCACATCATACAGTTTTGTTGAGGGCTCTCTCTCTCTCTCACACACACACACACACATTTTGATGAGGACATTGAAGATCAACGGCTACGATCGTGTCTATTTATTTTCATGTATTTTATTTGTTATTTGTACTTTTCCATTTCTACCCTCACTTGAGGGCTTTGCTTTATGTTGGCCCTAGGGGCAATTATGTAAACTTCTTTAATTTAATCATCCATGCTTGTTCGTTTTACATCACATTTTAATTAAACTCTTGTGGGTTATCATTTTTGAATAATCTTTATTATCTCAAGTACGTTAATCACCCTCTTTACATAGTGGTCCTTTCAGATAGCACATAGTTTTTTGGGTAATCATATAATCCTTTTAGGTACCCTTACTATTTTTTTAATACTCAGATTGTTTGCTTAGAGACCATTCAATCATCTTTTTTTTTTTTTTTCTCTTGCCTCTCATTGGTACTCAGATTATTTCAAGACGGATATCTGACATGTGATATTAAAGCTTTGCAGCTTGATTCTTGAACTTTTTATTTTTATTTTCTAAGATCTTCATAGTTGGTCATGCTCCTTTGATTGGCCATATATAGTTTGATTTATTCTTTTGTGTCTACATTGTTCTTTCACTTTGCTCCTTTTTTATGATTATTCCTTATGTTGGTTGATTGATCCAACAAAAAAAAAAATCTATGTTCATATTGTATATATGGCATCGCATTCCTATTCTCTTTTTCACTTGTTAATATAATATTTTCAGCTGAGAAACACAATTCCAAGAAAAAGACTAACATTCAAATTATGAAGACATATCAAGCACACTCTTATATCTTCTTCATCCTTTTGAATTTAGCAATGAACCAATAATAAGGTCATTACACTATCTGGAACTGTAGATTTATGGTGAAGGAAGTGAAGTCGTACTATTAAAGATGGGAAACATGTACACTACAATAGCTGGAAAGAGTGAAAAAGCACTTATTTCCTTGTCTCCATCTTTTATCTTTCATGCTGTTTTATTGATTTCCTCCTCATTCCCCAGCTTTTAACATAAACAGCTTCAACATGTGGGCTGTTGATCTATTGCAGTTAACGTTGAGGAAGCATGTGATCTAAAGTGAATTATAAGGTAGTAACTTTGACTTATCTCAATCCTCTTCATATTCTTCATTTAGTTCTTGAAAAGCTTTGATGCTCTAATGAAAATGCGTGTTTTTGTATTATGGATCTTAAGTTTGCAAAGGATTTCCCTTAGAGCTAAAATTTCATCTCATATTTCCTTAATTAATGAATTTGAATTTGAAATTCAAATAAAAAAAGAACTGAGGGAAGAGAGGAATTAATTATCTCCTTAATTAGGGAGGAAATAATTATGATAGAGGGGAGAGAGAGGGCCAGCCAAGGAGGGAGGAAAGATGTCCAAATTTGATGTATGTGTCCACATACATTGTATAGGGGGAATTAAATTCAAATCCAATTTTTTAGTTCAGATTTGTACTATTTGGGGGGAATTTCCTAAAATAGGTGTATGATATTTTGGAAAGATTTTAAAATTCAAATTCATTTGAATTTGAATTGTGAAATCTTTCCAAATAAGATATGGCTAAATTAGGAAGATAATAATGGTGTAATTCAAAGATTTTTTAATTAGAATATTAAATTAGGAAAGAGATGAAAGACCTTTCAAAATTCAAATTTAAATTCCCAAATTACTTTGAATCAAATTAGAAAAGTAATAAAAGAATGATTGAGAAATGGAGCCTTGGAGAATTGGTGGGGTGGCCGGCGGCTAGGGGCTGATTTAGTCGGCGGTTAAATGAAAAATAAGGAGAGACAAAAACAAAGAAAAAAGATAAAACCGCTAGTCTTGGACTTTCGAAAACTGACGGGTAATGCGTTGCCCTTCACCAAGAGACTTCATGCCATGAGCCTGGACCATCCTGTGGCTGGTGGAAACTACGATTCCCTCCATTGGAATTCTCACTAATGTCCTCCCAAAGAACAAAAGTGTAGAGCAAATTTTTTATTAAAACTTCATCATACTATTACACTAACAAGGACCTTTATATATAGGCCTAAAAAATAAACGAAACTAAAGTAAGACGATCATGCCCTTAGGGTTTACATAAGATTAGACTCTTAAGTAAGGGTAAAAATGAAAAATGCATAATTAAAGTTAAAAATTAAGATAACGTAGGACGATCACGACCGTCGTTCTTCAGCTCCTCGGATAGACATGGACGGTTGGATGTTCGCATCATGGTCTCTTAGTAATTATATCATCTAATTTGAAGTAATGATAATCTTAATTGCTATTAATAATAAAACTAAAATCAATTCTAAATTACTTTAGAATAATAGTAAAGTATAATTATTATCTTTTGCTGCATTAATTTTCTTGGGTTCAATAAAACTCTTTTCCTAAACAATTATGTAAAAATCTAGTTTTCATCGCTAAGGAGAAAAAAAAACTACTCTATGAATATCTTTTGAATATTCTTTAGTTATAGATTGGATATAGAAAATAAACTATTTAGGCTTTAGTTACAATACTCCAACGCATCATACATCTTTGTTCGAATAATATCTACTAAGATTCCATAATCATATGATGCTGCCAATAAAGATAATACAAACTCTTACGGGCATGGTATTATTTTCTGCATGAACAGATTGTGGGTTCCTATTATAGGAGATCTGAGGCGAGAGATTTTGTACTATGCTTATTATTCAGGCTACAATATTCATCCATGAAGCAGCAAAATGTATGGTGATCATAAAGGTAAATTTTGGTGGCCTAGATTGAAGATGGATGTGGTAGATTTAGTATCTAAATATGAATCCTAGCAGTTAGTGGAGATAGAGCATTAACGACCGAGATGTCTTTTGTGGCCATTGCCCATTCCAGAGTGGAAATGGGAAGAAGTTACTATATATTTTGCTATAGGTATTGTGTAACCCCTTAAGTAAAAAAAAAAAAATAAACTCTTAAACATTGAGGCACCTTTTTGTGTAATGGTCAATTTTTTTTTTAAGAAACTCTACAGTTAAGTGTGCTTATCCCAGAGAAATTCTGGAATGGGTGACCTTCTAGAAAGTTTCACCAATAAGATAAAACCGTGAGGCCCTTTAGTCAAAGAGGATAATATTTCGATAATTAAGAGTTTGATGGGCTGTTATAAATGATATTAGAGTAATATACCAACCAGAAGATGAAAACTAAGTGTCATACAAGACAAAATACTACGCCATAAGAGTCATCTCTTAAATCTTGTATGTGAAAAAATGCTATATATGGCGAGAGTCATCACTTAAACTTGTAGGGGCCACCATTGGAATCCTATCTGTCTCGTTGATGATTTTGGGATAAAGATAATGGCGAGGATGTCAGTTACTTAGACGGGGGAGATTGTGAAACCCCTTAAGTAAAAATAAGGTAAACTCTTAAAAATTGAGGCACCTTTTGGTATAATTGTCATACAACTGATCGTCCCAGGACGATCCAGATCGTCCTGGACGATCCTGGAGCAGATTTTTGATATTACATATACTTTGAGAGGACTATTCATATACTGAAAGTTCTTTTGCCTACTTGTTTAAGATTCATAAAGTGTTTCGTGTATCACTTCTTAGAAAATGGGCATTTGATTCTAAAAATAGAATATCTGAAAAATATATTGAGGTACGTCCAAGTCTAAGTTATAGAGAAGAACTAGAAACAAACATAGCTTATGATGTCAGAAGGTTAAGAAGTAAACATAATCTGATGGTTAAAGTCCACAAAAAATAGAACTCCAAGAGATGCTACTTACGAA